TAACTAGTTACCTGCCAAACTGCAGTGGAAATCCCTTTTTAATACGATGAAGAAATTTTTCCCCAGATTCCAGTTCAACAAAAAAGAATGGCGTGCCTGTTGAAATAATCTGAAAAATTGAAAGAAAAAAAAAACATGATTGCATACGACTGTAATGGTTAGCACACTGCAAAACTATTATGCTTATTGCATCATACTCACCTGCTTCAAGTCTGAGTTTTTTGGTATTTCATTAAGTTCTAGTTTTTGTGCCTCGCTGTATTCTTGGAAAACTGCACTAATGGTTTCAGATTTTTCAGCATCATATGGTATGACCTAGTCAGAAAAAAAAACATAGTGAAAATATTAGAGAACCTTGGCCACAAAACAACTTTTAGGAAGTCACTGATTTTCACATATTATCATCATCTTGAATTCTATCAAATCATCAAATCAATGATATTTGTCATGGCAACTACAGTTTTTAATAATTCCAATTTCAGTCTTAAGGAGGTTTGGAAATAATTGAAGAGTGGCTACATTCCTATCTCATAGTATCCATAACTAGACTTGTTTTATAGGTGACTTTACAATTCTGTGGCAGGGCAGTAATACTTGATCAAAAAAATTAAATGAAGATACCTGCAGCTGTAAGTGTTGACTTCGATAATTCCTTTCAAAGATAACACAAGACTCATCATCTTTCCTAAACATCTGCTGAAGACAACTTTTGTACTTTTCTACTTCATCTAAAGCTTCCTGAAATATAAAATCCCAAACTTACATATAAACACATGATACAAAGTTCCATAGCAATTGAATACCCAGGTTTCATGGTCATTTTTTTTTCAGAAATAACATATCAATGCACAACAAGTTTAAAATTCCTTATGTGACACAGAAATTCAATAACACAAAGCACTGTTAAAAATATGCAAATACAGTGTATGTAGGCAAGTGCATGTACAAGCCACTTTAACCTTAAGTTGTGGAGAAAATGTTATAGACAGCTGACTGTCAGTTTAGTATTTTTTAGACATTCTGACCATTGAGAAAAAATCTGATTCAAATAATATAACATTTTTCATTGAAACAAGGTGAACATTTCTATATATAATATTTACATGGAAAATAGCTAATGATGGATGTGAAAGATAACATTAGTTCCTAGAATTCCTGTTTATTATTTACAGAAATATACAAAATTGTCTCACCTGTGGTAAGTCTACTGAAGACTGATAGTGACCAATGGGCAATATCAGAACATGATCAGGTACAAGTCCACCTTTAGCTAAAGCCACATAAGTCTGGAAAAGTAAAAATAATTTTTTTTTGCATAGTACATAAAGTCTGGAGTGAAATTGAGTGAGAAACAGAGAATATGCCATGTACCAGTTAACTATTTTTTTCTAATATCTGTCTTTGTTAAGCTGGAAAAATATAAAATGACATAAAAGCAATATGACTATAAGTCAAACAAAGAGTCATGATACGATTTGTTTTTTTAGGATTTTCTTTTGAATAATATCAGTAAAGTTATTTCAGTACAGTAATGAATAGATGGGATGCCAATATACTTTGTAACCAAATGTTTTGGTGTAATAATTTTCTGTTGCCATGTTTGAAGGGAAAAACAAAGTTTTTATTTTTTTCTTTATTTTGAAAACTAGAACTAAGGGAAAATCTTTACAGAATTAATGACTTGGGCTTCAATGAAGTAGAATGTTTCTTTTCAAACTAGAATAACTTGTGTATGTGATAATGATTGTCCTAGATTAGATCTTTAATCTATGATGTTTAGAAATATTTAATGAATTATTAATACACATTGCCTGCTGAAAGTCTGCACAGACAGCGGAAATGAATGAATACTTACATGTGTGCCCACACTAACTACAAGATGCTTTTCAACCTCAGGACTACCAAGACAAAACCAGCATGGTCCTGTGGGCTTTGGTGGTGCTGTAAAACAATAGAATCAGAAGTCCAAAAAATAGTACAAGTACATATACTGCATGAAACTGATGATACAAGTACTGTATATAATCTAATAGAAGCAAATGTATTTATAGTTGAAATAAGTCATATTTTAATGATCCGGCATATAATAAACACATTTTGGCCAGATTTGATTTTCTATTGAAAATGAGATTCTAATAGAACAAATAAAGTATTATATTTTGCAAGTATTAAAACTAATATTCTTCTTTTTGTGCATCTTAATTGATATTCAAATTTGACAGATTATAGAAATGTTCACTTTACGTCTTGGCTTCTTGTGTTGTCCACCATCTTGCCTTTGTTGTCTCTTCTGTGGTTTATTGTAACTTTTTGAATCATAAAAATACTGATTAGACATGTCTGCCTGAAATTGTAAGAAAGATGAGGATTACTTAAAATGAAAAGTGATTACTTTTGATAAAACATAACTATACCAACAGGATCAAGTAACTTTTACCGTACTTGATGACTTAGTGCCCGTGCTCAACTAAGGCCCACCACCACCACTCTGACTATCAAATTGGGAATTACCAGTTTATAAAAAAAATATCATCTTTTTTTCCCCTAAAATCAGTGCCAACAGATCGTATTTAAATATTGGTAATTCACTTCCACAAAAATATTTTGAAAGTGTCATCGACTATATTCTGAAATTTCCGGAAAACTAACACAGTATTCAAAAGGATGTACCGGTAATATTCCCTTTAGTCTGGCACATGCTAATTGAAACTTTTCATTTGGATAATTTTTCAACAGGGGTGCTCAACTAAGCACCCACCCTCATGGTATACAGTACAGTATATGATAGTGAATCAGCAACCTGTCTGCCTGTCATTATAGACAAACACTCCATATTTTAGACAGGTACAATATTTCTACAAACCTGTCCAATTTTGATTGAAAATTACCAGTAAATTACATTTTTTTATAAAAAATCAATAAAAAATCGATTGTAAGTCTGTGGCTACAGTTTTTTGACTGGTACTTTCTATTTTCTGGCTACAACCCTGATTCAGTGCATGTATGAACTGTTATTTCTCCCCTCACCTGTGCCGTTTCTGTGTTCACATCTTGTATTTTGAATGGACATTCCGTTACATCTTGCGGCTGTTTGATCAATTCTTCATTCTCTATTTTACACATGGGAACAATGTTGAAGGCATACAAATACTGTAATGCAATAAAAATAGAATAATTCAATCTAGTTTTATAGACAGTTGCGTAAGTTCATTATAAGTATAAAGTACAATTACCTGCATTTGTTCTATTAGAAGTGCAGGTAAACCAAAAATGATATTTATTTATTACCTCTGTCATTTACATAACCACATGCACTACTAGTACAGCAAATATGGTATATGCATAAACATGTGTAATGATATGAAGAAGGAAATGTAAAACAGGAATTTTGCTTTGACAGGTTTATGGTTATGCTTTGGACACTTTTTGCTGTAGTCATTTCTCAAGGGTATCAATATACCTTTTTCTTGTCTGAATTGCCAACGTTAGCTAAGGCAATGAACCTTGTAACATGCTTGGCAGCTTCTGCTAGTACTCTATGGTTTCTGTACGGTTGTCGTTCATAGTGTGTCTGATATATCCCAGAAAAGTGATACCTTGGTCTTAAACACATGGCAAGTTTTGCTATTAGACTTGAACCTGAAGTCTTGTCAGTAATTCCATCCTGTGTGATACAAACGATTTGTTGTGTAAAATTTTATTTACGGGTAACATGAGAACTGATGTGAAGGGAAATAACAAATACATGTGCATGTGAATATGGAGGTTGTAATGAAAGAATCAGCGATAGAGAAAAAAATAATACAAAATATATTGATGCACAGGTTATATCCCTCCGAGGCAAAGAGTGTTGGCAGAAATTGTGTTCCCCCAATATTCTCCTTCTTGGTCCCCCAATATTAGTAAGGGACACCCACTTAAGAACAAGTTCTATATAACACAGCATATATTGTTAATTTCTCTTCAAAAAAGTGATACAAGAATAAAAGCAGCCAATAATCAGCCATAAGAATACACGTGTTAATCATCATAATAAATTTTTGATGGAGTTTCAGAGAATAACTCGAATGAATACTGTTTGCTCTCTTGATAACAAGATAACCATATGAGAACATCAAACAGAAACTCAGTTCAACAGCATTACCGCTTACAGGTTGTGATGCATTCTGGGAGACTCCTTTAGGCCACTGTGATGTCAGTAACACATCCACACCTTTAAAGTTAGTATCTGCAGTCAGCGATTCTATCAATGCAGTCACATCTATGTCTGTGAAATGGTGTGCTTTGGCATCACTACTACCACTGGGTTGTTCTATACCACTGATGTACGCTACTTGTAAACCAGACATACTATTGAAAACGCCTCGCTTACCTGGAAAAGAAAATCATTTACATATTAACCCCTTTGAATGGCAAATTTTTTTCCCCACTCAAATTTGGTTAAATTTCTTCACAGTTTCTGTCATTTTCACTTAATTCAATGATAATTTTGAACCAAACAGACAAAATTGAATGCAATTCACAACGATTGTAGTTGCTCATAGTTTTAAACAAAATTTGTTGAGAACAAAAATTTGTTTGTGACAATTAAGGATTAATCCTCACCAAACCCATCTATCAGCAATATCCACATTCACAAAGTGAAACCTAAGTGTGTAAATTGAAAATTTTCTCAATTATATAAAGAATCCCAATAAACGCAACACTTTTATAAATTCCGGTATCTCTTAGTCAGGTTACACTGTAAAATTGGATGACAAGTTATAGTCTTACCGAGATATGTAATGTTATCTGCTAAATCGCAACCATCAATCTCTTTGAAATATTCCATATGTTCTGGTAGATTAGCACCAAGGACGTATGTTGATATTGGAGCTAGAATGAAATGAATAAGATTGATAAAGTGGGGATAAAGTTGCCACTTTTATCATTCCCAATTCAACGATGTCACAAATCAAAAGAAAGATCACATCACTGTGATTTACGATTTCAGATTGCACAGATGAAATACATTACAGGTGAATATATAGTTATATTTTGGGGCTTCATGTATTTTGAATATTGAAATTCATGGCAAGAATTTATGTCTAGGATATGGCTACTGCTAAAACATAGTCACCTGCAGCTAAGCCATCTTTATATTTCTTCCACTCATCCTCAGCTTTTAGCCCATGGCCGAAAAAATTACCAACACACAGTAACATCTGAAAATATATAATCAATATAACTTGCAAGATAATGATCACAAAATCACAAGATTGTACATTTCTAATTAGTTAGCCCATGAAAGAAAATATTAGTATTCATCTCAGATGTTTTTTCAGAGTGTCCTTATTTGTAAAATGTTTTCGAACTTCTGTTTACACAATAAATGGTAACTAAAACTAAGTGCAAACTTTTTAAGCATCAACTGCGTTCTGTGATGCTATTGGTTAAATGTATATACATGTATGATTTGATGTAAGGTATGGTATAATTTTTAAATGCTCGCAGAGTGTGAGAGTTGCCTTCTCATGAGCTTTTCATTACATAGTATTTTAAAATATATATTTCAATAGTTGCATATCCTAATCTTGTATACATAATAATACAACTTAAATCTGCACATCTCACCTCAAAAGGACCAGCCTTATTCTGAACATTCCTCACTCTTTTGTAAAGCTGATCAAGTTTTCCTTCAGCATCCCCACTCACCAGGCTGAGAAAAAAAATGCACATAATAACTTACTAAACTGCTTTCACTAGACATAACTAATGTGCATAGCAATGAAAGCTGTAGTAGCTCCAGAACAGTCTAGACTTAACTCATAAGACGATTCTGAGGTGGCTTTGCCCTTAATATCTTTAGTATCATTGTCATCAGTAATTTGCACTTTTTTTTGTATTTACCAAATGTTACTAATACGAGAAGTATTTAGGTGGATTACTATGCACAAATTAGATACATGTCAATTTTGAAAGCAGGCTAAGCCAACTCAAATTATGTGGACTATATTACTGTAGTATGGTAATACAATCATAAACTGGTGGATAGTGGCTGGCAATTGCTGGCATACAGTGTGAACTTCAGCAGGAAATGAAATATAGTATTACAAACTAAACTGACAATAGTATGGATAATTATTATCTTCAAAAATTAGTGCATAGCAAACATTTAGTCATGACAACATTTTTTCCCCCCAATAATATTAACCAACCTTTCCTACATGCTGAATCACAAATCCTTTGTCATTTTTTCATTTCTGGTTACTCTTTACGAAATGGTTTGATTTCAATATTTAAAATTGTTAGACATCTAATGCAGTGTCAAAAGTGTTTTTACAACATTGCCCTAGACTCATGTACATGCTTTACACGGACAGGTGTACACAGAAAATGAAATAATTTTATGGTCTGAATATTGTTGTACATACATATACTTGTTTATCATTATGATGAAAAACCTAGAAATTTAATATGTAAAACATATTTAATCTTATACTTTCGAGTGCCTAAAATTCTTTTTTTTCTTGATTTTTAACTGAATGGACATAATCAACTTCCTATTGGCTATGTCTTGATTACAATTTTGGAAATAATATGGATGGAATTATGTGACAAAAATTGACTAGTCACTCCTTTGAGTTAAAATGTTTGTCTCACAAAAAAGAAAAGAAAAAACATATCACTTGATCATGAATTCTTGTATTATTACATCTGACACATTGCAGTGGGATTTTATAATCAAACAGGATTTAGGTCAAAGGTTAAATTTACACAATTAATAGCGGGAATACTTAAGATTTGAAAGACACATAAACAATACTAGCCAAATATAATTACAGAAAACAATAGAAACATCATTTTAGTTTCAAACATAGACTTATCGTTTTGTGTATTTTGTGTAGTCACTGTGTCAGTATATATGGGATACTGACCAGAAGATGGTGTGTGTAAACACCGTCCTGAGGGACGGTGGTGTAAACAAGAATTTAGATGACAAAGATGAATCAGTGCGCTCAGACACGGTACCAGCATTATTACTGTTTTGTTGAGTTTTCTAGCGACTCAGAGCAATGAAGTGCGTGGATGGTCTTGTCAACGAATAAAGAAAATTATTATAATGTTACTCTGGGTTTGTATGAATTAAATTAACTTACATTTTCAATGATTTTTGGGCCATTCTCGCTATGAATCTCTTGCGACCTGGTCAACGTGAGAAACCAACTACAAACAAACAAATCACTTTCGCGTGGTTGTTTGTTATTTCTTTACTCCTGCATACCCAAACATGGCGGAGTTGTAAACATTGCAGGTTACACATAATTCGTCGTTCAAAGTCGTTTTAGCAAAAACAAACGAATAGTATTTTGGCAAATATTTTGGACGAGTGAAGATCTGACGAATACACAATGGTAGACGGCTTTGGAGCAATTACTTGGTGGGGATTCAGCCCCGCGTTGGACTTCCAAGAAAAAGGTGACTTACTTGAACAGTTGCATGCTGTAGTTTTGTATTTACATGTAGTTACTTACTGATCGATTTATTGCGATATTCAGCCCTCAAGTAACAGTCATTTGGTGGCACATTTCACGTTTGGCATAATGCGTGCTAATTAGTTTTCATTTAAAATGTTGTCAGTAATGAATGCCAAATACGATTTTGATAATTTGCAAATAACCACATAAGTACTACATGTCTTTATTATTAGATTTTATTTCAGGTTTGGAAGGATTACATGTATCTGGTGGTGATGGAGACTGTGAAGAATTCAACGTTTTGATGATTGGTGCTGGTGATTGCAGACATATACTGAAAACCATATCTAGAAAACATAGATATCCTAAGAAAAAAATAAATGTACGTTCAATGTTGTAAGGTTTAACAGGTCTTAAAGACTCTTATCTGTAATTACATGTATATACAATAACATTTCAAGGCATCAAGAGAAATTATAGATCACTGTACTGTATATAGATTTGTATTTCTATTTCTTGATACAGTTGGTAAATAATTTTTAATTTAGTTGCTTTTTAATTTTGCTTCTCTTTCATTGCCTTCTTGCTTAAAATTTCTTTCAATATGTGTGAATAAAATGAACTTTATCTTGAACACTAGCCTGACAAGGTTGCGTGAGTTGCGCCCTCCGCGGTACTCCAAACCCAACACACGCCTGACAGATTTTCCCCAACGATTTTTTGTTACCAATAAAGTTACAGGAACGTCAGATAGTGACAGCCATCAAAGAGTAACCATTCACGGCAGAATTTATTTGTTTGTTGACATAATGTGTGATAAGGAGCTGGCAAATTTCTGCCCAATGTTATCATCTTGTTGAAAACAGTCTGTGATTTTTGCAGACAATGAAAAAACAGCTTCGATTGATGATGTTACCATGACCACCAAAATAAATATTCATTGAAATTTATTTTCAAACAGGCCTGAACTTTGTGAATTCGCAGTATTGATCTTACTGACGAGACATGCACTATTCTGTCCGGTGTTGTTAGGGTCTGATGCCGTTTGGCCTACGAGGGCGCCACTCACGCCTACATGTCAGGCTACTTTAATTCATGCTACTTATTTTTTGTAGTTTTACGTGATTGAGAACAGTTTGGAGATCTATGCCCGTCACATGCTGCTACTAAACATAGCATTGGAGTCGCCGCAGAAAATGGGATTCCAAGAAAAAACTGAATTATTCTTAGAAATCTATGGTAATTCACTAATCAGATCACATTCCAGTCAGTACATTGTAAATAAAGCCAATGAATTCATCAAGTAAGTGTGACACATGTATCATTGTGGTTGTTACTGAAACAAAAATCCTACTCTTGAGTGAGTGTACCTCAAACTCAAAAAGGGTCCAGTTGGTAATGGGTGCACCTGATTAGTAGATGTGACTTTTTCTACAGATGCTGGTTGTGTTTAACTTAAGCACAACTGGCTGATGCCAGGATAGCCCATTGATCAACATTAATTTTAAATTTGTGTAAACATTACCTTATCTGCATTACGAATTCTGTGTTATTTTATACATTGTATCCCTTTAACTAAAGTTGTATTGTTGTCCTAGTATATTTTAGTCATGTCATGTAATGTCTTTAACATTTCTAGTAATAAACACTGTATTCACAATATCCACATCACAAGTTTCTTGCCAATAACTAATCCTAATCAAGCTGTTCCATACTTTCAGTTGTGATTGAGTTTTTAGCATTTTAGAGTATCATCAAATCTCCTAACTGCACATTGAAATTTCCTTTTGACGATGGACGATATTACAAAATTAATATTCAATGCAAAGCATTTAGCTGGGTTTAGCTTTTGTCGGGAGTTAAATTGATAAATGACATAAATGCCAGCTTTTGATCAGTATGACTTATGAACACCATAACTTTCTGATTTGATTTTTGACCAAGTTACTCAAAATTAAAAATGCTTTCAACTAAATTTTGCTAAAAATACAACTTTAATGTAACCTAAGTTACATAAGAACCCCCCTCCCAATCCTGTGTGAGAACTTACCAATGTGACATACTGTATACAGTAACTCATAATTTAGCCTTGATATTCACAGATTATTTATCATTGCATGTTGACTATAACCACACCATATTCCATCTCAGATATGTTACAGATCTAGACTACATGAAGGAGATGATGCCTATATTTGACATATCAGCTTTGAAGTTTAAAGAAAGGGACCAACTAGAAGCAATCTATAAATTCTGGAGGAATCCTGATGTTAAAGTATATGATATTTCAAAATATTGGTAAGCTGGAAACCAAAACTTTTATATATATCCTCGGGCGGGGCTACGTCACAAGACGTTCCACGTTTTAAGATGCACACCACTCTACCAAGTATTTCTATGGGCTTTGCGCAAGCTTCTTTGGAGTGCTGGTGAAAGAGCTAGTAAAAATAGAAAACAACACAAACGCTTTGGAGTAATCCTGAACAGCCAAATTTATATATGTCGTACACGCAGGTGTAACCTCGTTACATTGTTCAGGGAAGTCTCAACAACCATCCCAAAGTATCATTTTCTAAGAGTTTTCAGCCCTTATTTCCACTGTGATGGTTGCCAGGTGGTGAAAATGCCTGGATGTCCGCCCCTGAGAATAGTATTATTATAGTAACTATGTGTACCACATGTTACAAGATATTCTCTGGCATGGGTCCTGGAGCGAAGCTTTTACTTTTGCTCCTGTGTGTATCAGTCAGTCATTTTGTATTCTATTTTGTCAATATATCTCTGACAGTTTTCACTACTGCACCATAATAACATGGTGAGGCGTATATGTAGAGATACATGTATGTAAACTATTTTCTTGACAAAGTTATAAAGGGCAGCATTTGTTTTGTGTTGTTCATGTTTGTGTAAATCTGTTTTAGTAGCTCCTTTTGTTTTTGTCAGTATATTAATTAACACTGCTCCATACATTTAAAATCATTTTACATAAATTGTATGCATATTAATTACCTCATTTGCATATGATTTTTTTTTATTCAGGGATGATAGGGTGAGGAAGCACCTGGGTGTACGCTATGATAATAAACAAGGTGCATTTGACTGGGATTACAGTATGAAACTTTGTGAGAAAGATGCTAAAATTATCAACATTCATGTGTACTCACAGTGGAGGAGGAATGGTGTGGCATTTGAAACAAGGGAAGGCGACTATGATTCACCCAATAAGACGCTGGCTTCAGGAATGATATTCAAAGTGGTAAGGCTTTTGGAATGTAACACATGCTGTGTACCTTTGTATCTTGGCAACACTCTGCTAGTTAGAAGATGCAGTCCAACATTTACAAATACTACTACTTTTATCTGCATTGTCAACTCTAGCTGGATGAATTTATAGCTAGAGTTCTTTTTGTGACGATGAATTAAATTCTTAATTTCAATGAATATTTTTCTAATTTTATAAAATATACAGCTATTCTCCACTTTTTCTTCAACTATGTGACCAATATATTGCTTATATTTGGATTCACACCCAATCCTTTGATTAGTCAGCCTGACACATAGCCATAGCAACCACTGCATATACCAAAGGGTTGCAGTGTCTAACATCCATGATCCATGACCATATCAAATCTAGTTTAACAATATGGTTTATTTTTGCAACAACTCACTTGGATCCTCAAACCCCACAATATAACAGTTTATAAACACATGTGTTTCAGGGTGGTGATAGAATAGCCCAGCGTGGTTACTGGGGTGACATCGTAACAAGTCCATTCATCACATTTGGTATAGAATGTGAAGAGAAAAGTTTGCTGAAAAAAGCTAATGATATGCACATGAAGGTGAGTAGTCCTCATTCCTAAAGACATCACAAACCCAGACGCTCTGATTAATTTTGCAGATTTGATGTTGTACTCACTAGGTTTAAATTTACAGATTTTTGAAAAGACCATACATTCTATTGTTAACTTTGCATATTCACTTGGTTTTAATTTAGTGTGTTTATCTATTAGCAGAATAGATAAAAGTAACACATCCAGCTACTGTAAAGTTCTTAATTGAGTAAAAATAAAATATACCTTTTTTCCTATATTTTACATTCATACAATAAACTCCATACAAAACACCCAATAAGTCTTTTCAGTGAAAATTAATTGCAGCTAAAATAAAGTATTTTACAATAATAACTCAGCCTAATTCAGAAGTCTGTTTCACGTTATAAGAATAGCTCTGATAGTGAATGAAACTGTGTCTCTCACTCTGTTCCCATTGAATCCACATCACACTCATTCCGAGTAGAGGTGGACCTGTTTTTCTGTGTGATTGTAACCCAAGACCCATAATGATCATGAGTCACTATCATCACTATGGTTATTTGTACATGTCACATTCAAGGGTAGATCAAGTATTAAATATTTACACATACATGTAGTTAATTTATCTGTAAGCCACTCAAGAGGATGATAGGAAACACATCAGGATAAATGAAACAGTGATTTTTTTGTAATCATCGCAAGGTCTACCTAAAGAGCACATCATCACATCAATCTTAATATTTGTAACAACTAATCTTATTGGTCAGTTGATTTACTGTCATGGCCAATCTCATACATACACAATTCTGTATAAACTTGCGTGCATATTCATGGAGATAGTGATTTATGAACCAAATATATAACCTTGCGATTGGGAAAATTCCATTATAGCACATGGCTTGAAATTTGGGATCAGTACAGATATTTTGTCTATACCTACCATACATGTTCATCAGGAAATTTGGTTCTATGTTACAGCCATATGACGTATTGCATTTTATTTTAAAATTCACATAGTTGTACCATATTCTGTTTTTAGAAAAAAATGTAGTCTGTAAATATATTTACTGTGATGCATTACAGACTTCAAGAGATGTCTCAGAGTACAACGTACTCTCCATGCTGTATGAGCTGACCAACAATGAAATATATGTAATGCCAAAACAAGATGGGAAGGATGGTACAAAAAAGGAAGAAGCAAAACTTACTGAAATTACTGAGGATGAGGAAGAAGAAGATGTGAATGAAAATGCTGAAGAGCCAGCTTCATCTGAGAGTACAGGTGAAACTGCAAGTATGTATGCTTATAATAGCTGATGATGGAAGTTGTATTTATTATTGGTCAAATATGGGTGTTCACTGTGGGGAGGGGAAATGTTCTCATTGCCCAAAGCACAAATTGCCTCTCAGATGATATATGTAAATTTTAGTGTCTAAAACAATCACATGTATGTACATTACTAGCTAACAAAACCCAGTATAACTTTTGCAAACACAGCCACCTTCAATAATCAATCTCTGCAAAAGTAAAAGTATAAATGGCAATGGTCAATACATGTTTAACATAACCCAGATGTTTCTATTCTAAGGCATGTACACGTAATAATATTCAGCCTTATTTGAAATTGATAGCTATCCTTCAATGATAAGATAAGACAGAATTGCCATCTACATGTAATGGGTGTCTATTAAATAAATTGACTGAGATTGCAAGCTCACTATTAATTTCCCTTGATGCAATGGAATATTTCTTGGAACATGCTTAGCAGTGTTTGTTTGAGTGTGGAACTTTTCATCCCAACAAGCAAATGCTCCAGTCATGGACTCTCAAGGAGTGCTGGTGGGAAAAATGACAATAAGGAAGTTGTATATACTTTGTATGTAAATTTTCAGTTGAGAATGAAAATTGAATCATGGCAGAATATCATAAAACATGGTTTGAATGGTCTTGTTCATATTCAAATCACAACTTTGAACTAGCCCTGTTCGCCATGTTTCTGAATCACGTTGTAGATGGTGATCTAGGGATGATTAATTTTGAGCAATGTTTTTCTGTGATGGACCACTGTCTGATCGATAGGCCATATGTGATTTTTTTTTTTTTTAATTTAAAAGTACCGTATGTGTTCAATGGAAATGTTAAATACCGGTAGTATCCATTCAATTGAGATTAATTGTTGGGTTTTCAGTAGAATTTTAAATAGCAGGTTCCAGTGTGGAAATAGACAAGTCATTACCAATGGAAATTTGATTAGTAGATTTTTTGATAAAAGTGGCCTTCTGTCAAATTATCAATTAGTTTTGACCAGTATTGTTCTAGTAAAAGTGATTGTTTGATTTATGGCCATTGTTTTGTATATTTATATGCAATGTAGACCAATATTTAGGAAATCTATGCTTTTGCAGAGCTGATACAGATTGAAGATGTAACTGTTAACTTCCTACCATTGTCTTCTGCTCAAGAGTTGAAGAAAAAAAGTAAATATCATCAGCTGTTTCATCTTGTGTATTTCTCAAACAGGTAATCAAAATTATATGTTTATTTATTTTACTCTTGTGGTAAAACATCCCCCACATCTTATTCAATTATCATATTCACAAATGTCAGATTCACAATGAAACCTCTGTAACGTCATAACCAGTATATCCTTGTAAAACATAACGTAATACATAACATTGAGTCTGTTACATTACGCACATTTTTGCCAGTAAAAATGTAGGTTGGGGTAGCACCTGAAGAACATGTGTGGTACTGAAGAAAATGCTCTGTGAAATCACATAGTAATACAAAAATAATATTATACCTTGTACTGTGCATTTATTAGATGTTTAAACAAGCACCATTTAATAGTATGTGGTCCACACAAATCTATGTATACTCATCGTACATTCATATTAGAAGTGACACTTTTTAGACATAATGTTGATGACATATACTTATTTATTACTTTAGAAAACTTATATTTGTCAGTTACAACCTGTAAGGTATAACAACTATATTGATTACAGATGAAAGTGTTAATTGCGGGTTATACTGCTTCATGTATTACATGTACTATAGTTTGCCATATTTACATAAGAGGCAAACATTCAGTGAATTTCAAGATTCAGTGAACAAATTTTTTTGGGTCTCACAATACTAGCAGGGAAAATTACATGTTTTACATCATTTTATACCACGAATTTAGTATTCACCAGTTTACACTACAGTGGGTTTAGTAGGGAACAGCCTCAATTATCATGTTTGGTGTTAAGTTAGTATGAACAGTGATTTCAGTGATCTGTGTCCTTGAACCAAATATACAGGCCCTGACAAAAAGTTATCGATTCATCATGTAATCTACATCAAATGTTATATTTCTCCCACAGTATGGTACACAACCTGACTCCAGAGATTAATACACTGTTTTCTGAACGTGCATGTGTAATGTTGGAAACTGCAAAGTTTATGCTGGACTTGAAGAAGGAACAGACAGATGAGTTTGTCAAGAAAGTTAGCAGTATGGCCAAATCTGTAGGCTGTGAGGTAAAGAAAAAAAACTACTGAACAGAATTTCTAATTGATTTGGGATTGTGAAGAAAAAGGGGATTTATATTAAATTTGATATATGTGTGTCAATCTGAAATACAGTTAAACACGTGTATAAAGACCACCCATGGGACTACATAAAACTGTCCTTATAGTAAGTGGTGGTCAAGAGCTGTGTTATTCGTGGCTCAATAAACAAATGATATAAGGTGGTGACGTCACAATATCAGCATTCTTATATCATGCAGAACTTTTATGTTCAGAATTTGTATATTCTTTTCAGAAATTAAAGTTGACATACAGAAAGGAATTAAGGGTATAATATTATGCTATGAAATAACTAGACGTAACTTTTTCTTTCTCTGTTTTCTTTGCAGCCCCAGACACTGTGTAATTCTGATAAAGATTCTGCTTTTCTTAAGTTCACTTTCAGAAGAAAAGACCAATCATGACATCATGTGCCTTCCTAACAACCACCACACAGTGTCAATACTCAACTTGGCAGTTGTGCTGGTCACTGTGCATTTTATTTAAACAAATTCATCTCCCTAATTTATCTTTTCTTTTCTTTATCAAATCATGCATTCCATCTGAATTGTTGTGTCTTGCATTGCTAAACATACACAATTTATCCAGTAGGGTTTCACGAAATGTTGCAATATTCTTTTGGCTACTTTGAATTTTCATGTGTGATGCTGCAATCATTTTTGAAAAAAAACTATTAAGATCATGTAAATGTTGAATCCAGATGATTCAACAAAGCAGTCTTTTATTATGTGGCCATTAAAGTACGTTTTCATTCCATAAATTCCATCATAGTCATTACATTACAGTTTGCAGTGATTGTTTCTTACCTTGAAATTAATTATGCATTTATTCTTCTTCCGTCCAATGTTACTGTATCTGTTGATTGACCTATTCATTTTTGTACCATCATTTATCTTACATTGTTGATAATAAAATAAGATACAAATTTTTCAATTCATTGTTTATGGATAATTAAATTACTTCGATCACAGTTTTGGCTGATCAGAAGAACCTTTTCACACAGTGTATTATTTAAAAAAGCTAATTAGCAATGCATCCTGGGAAGAAGGAATGGTTGTTGTAACAGTGGACATATGGTGGTAACTTGGTTTGATAAAATAGATGAGCTTTTCTAGCTCTAGCCCCTTTGTTTATTAGACGCTCCAATTACTTACGCTATTTCTTTAAGTTAGATATTTGTCCAAGTTAGACAAAGTAGGTTTTTCTACTGCCAGCCTGTTGACCCCTGAATTAAAAATAATGGTATTGCCCACCAAGTGCATGGCATCTTCAGGGATTATGGGTAATACCCGTAGAGTTCCTTTACTCTACTTTATGTGCTGAAGAAAAGCAGCTCTGAAGGGTGATGCATTGGTGCCTGGGGAGGTGTGTAGTTAGCGTAAGTGATTTTGATTGGTGTCACATGCAACGTAATATTACCGTAATTGGTATAGTACAGGTGTGATGGTTCAAATACCAAAATGGCAACAGTAACAGAAAGACTTTCCTGGCGGCGATGATAAAATACGAACACGGAGCCAACAGATGAGGTTTAAACTGGTACTGGTATTATTATACTCTGCAAACATCAAGTACAATAACGCGGTAAAACTCCACTACTCCAATGACTAGATACTTAAACTCCAATACAATTCAACGAGATCTCCGATCTGAACTCAGTGCTGAACAACTCCCCTATATATACCCCCACTGTCTATAAATAAACCATTACATCAGCATACATAATGAGTCTGGAACTTACTACAAATTTACATGACTAGCAACGACGTCAATAATACGAATACGATAACAATTTCAAATAGAACAACAATACAATATATCAAATCGAACTGAATAAAGCTAAATATAATAAAATATGAAATATAATCATAAACGA